GATCTAACCTTCTATGTGCGCTGTAAAGGGGATACAAGCAAGCTGTATGTTTTCTCAGAGGCGTGTTACAATCACATCAAGACTCGTCGACTCCCGAAGCTGGCCGGCGACGGTGAATGAAGTCCCTCAGATCCTACGCTGCTGCTGCTGCTGGCCGGCGGCGGTGAATGAAGGAGCCAAGGAGGGAGGAGGCACTGCGACTCGTCGACTCCCGAAGCTGCTAGGGCTGCCGCTGCGTCTCACGGTCTCAGTGCAGTGGGTAAGGGCCGAAAATTAGTTTTGAATTGGGCTAGGCCTGGGCTGAATTAAATCTGTCTTTGTACTTTGAATGGGTACAACGGGTACCCATATTACCCAAACGGGTATTCGCGGGTAACCCGCGGGTACCCATATTAGGACTGTACAATTCCAAGTCCCATCCGTTTAAAATATTACGGGTAATATGGGTACCCGTAACTCTTAAAAAACGGGACGGGTACGGGTATACCCAAATACCCGCTTCCCGTTGCCCACCCCTACCAAGAAGGGAAGAAGAATGATGGAATTGAGAGATGATGTATGATTTTTCGGTTTGAGTAGAATGAAATGAAAAGGAGGAAAGTTGTTGTTTTATAGCCGAAATTGGGGATAAGATAAGGATGTTGATGTGGTAGATTTTGGATAATATTGAGAAGATTTCGGTTTGAAATTTTGGAAAGAAACAAAAGAGGTAGGGTAATATGTCGGTCGACATTACCCACAAAATGCCAAAAGCATATCGAAATTATCAGGGGATAATACTGAGATATTGTGTTATATGTTGTATCCAACAGTTTCCCATTGGTAGGGTACTATGTCGTAAGCATAACCCACATTAAATGCCAGAATCATATCTACCACATATAGTCATATGGTTTATTAAAAGAATCTTTAGGGTTCGAAATCTGGCGTCAATGGGGCTCGAACCTACAACGTTCCATTTGAGGTCAAAGAGTCGTACCACTTCGACCGCGTCCCCTTTTGGTATCTTTATTCTTAACGTATTGCATAATACATGTTATTATGTTGAATTACTACTCTTAGTTAGTCCTTCTTCCTAAAGCAAAAGGTAACAAAACAAACCATAAACCTGAAGTTTATGTTTGCTGTAAATTGATTGCTTGGCATGACCGGTTGGACCATCCTGGATCAATTATGATGCAAAGTATTATCGAGAATTCATGTAAATCGTTGTTGAGAATATTATCGAAAATTCCACAATGAAGGATTTTTCTTGTGTTGTATATTCTCAAGAAAAGTTGATAATGAGATCACCTATAATAGTAAGAAGTGATTAGTATATACACTATGAAATTATTGGATCAATTAGTTATTTTATGGTTTTAATCGAGTCATCGTCTAAATGATCACTCCACTTGCAACCTGAAGTTTGCAAGATTGGTTGCACGATTGATTCACTTACGGGCATATATGAACGAATGTTCAATATGAAGAGAATACTTCTCGATGATTATTGGTGGATTTAAATCTCGTATTATTGGTTTCAATATCAAATGTCATGTAGCACATGCTTGTGCATAAGCATGTGAAACAACTTATTGAAGACATGCCAGTTGCATGTAGCAGTATCGATTTTGGATCATGCCAAAAAGATGTCACTCCTAAAACCCCTGTACAAATTGGTTTATGGGTAGGAACCATCAAATTCCCTGATAGGATATTGGAAGTTAATGTTGAGCAAGAAGTCTCCATTATGTTGATGAGACTAGAATCAATTATATGATATTGTTGACATTGTTATTTCAACAAATCAATCTTTCCAATATCAGGGGGAGAAATATAAGCAACTGATTTTAAAATTGGTTAAAATGAATTATGATCCCCACACTTATGATATGAACTTGAAGTTCAAAGATTATTCATTTGCCAAGTTTGACAAAGCAGTGACTAAGTCACAAAAGCTGCTAATGCTCCTAAGAACTATATCCCTGAAGGATATGTTGCACACACATATGTAATGTGTTGAACTATCGATTCCAAGGAAATACAAGTCCTCGAAAAATAAAAGGAGCTCAAAATAAAGATGGTCTTTATAATGAGGATATTGCAAGCTTATTTGAATCTCCAAGTATTATAACATTGGTTTGGAAGAACCACATGCACCTAGTTCGGGATAATGAAAGAAATCCCAATAAATTATATCTTGTATGAGATTCAATGGAATCGAAAGGAAGTCAACGTTGACGATAGAGTTTTCATATATTGTAGCGCGCAATATGATATAGGATCGTAAAGTTAGATACATTGGTCACCTTAAAAATGTTATATACCAAGTTGTAACGACGCATTTGAGGCAGTTATGAACTAGCCTAAACAGTAAAAGGTCATAAGAGCTATACAGAAGCAATGCTAGTAAAACTCATATGATGTTTTACGAAGACATGACAAAGGGGGAGAAATTAAGAGATATCATGCTCGACTTGTCATAAAGGTATTCTCAGAATAATTGGCATTAACTTAGGAAAACTTCCATATGGTGGATATGGCTTTTGGCAGTATATAAAAGTTTTATATGCGTATAATGAAGGTTGATACTAAAGCATGCTTAATGATGAAATTCATATGGAACTCTCTAAAGGAGTTAGTTTGCTTGAAGCAAACATGTTGAGATTGTGGAGAACATTATTCAAGTATATTGAATCCTCCCCTCAAATAAATTAAATGAGCATCGATATATATGGAATAACTATCTCAATGAAGTTTCTACGAGATAGGAGAAATACGAATGATCTCAAATTCCATATTCTTATTATAATTTGAGGAAGACAGATGAATTGCCTAAAATATCTTCCAATGATAGCTTCATGTGTTCTGACAAAGAATCATTGGTTGAAAGAGTCATACTTCTCATGACAATGTGTTGACAAATTCTTTACCACCTTTGGGGTGTCGACACATTTGTAAACAATGATTTCAAGTTGAGATTAAAGGTATAAATATGTTTGAAACTCTAGAAGAGTATTCAAAGATTGATCTAGACGATCATATATGAAAGTGATATTACATGTATCTTCTGAAAAGATACATATGAGGATATTTTAACGAAGTTTGTTTTTCAATAATGAACTTCATGAAAAATTGCGGAACCAACAAAGTTTGTTAAAGGACTATCCAGCATATTTGTCTATAACAATACTACTTTCCACAACGTCATGTGAAAATATATTGGAGCTCGAAGACTTCAAACTGTTGATAGATCTCTCCATGAGGGGGAGATGTTGATAGATCTCTCATCTCTCCATAAGGGGGAGACTTTACGCACTGCACTCTTTTTCCCTTAACTAAGGTTTTTCCCACTGGGTTTTCCTGGTAAGGTTTTTAATGAGGCAGTATACAACGCATAACGGAAGAACTATGTACTCTTTTTCCTTCACTAGGTTTTTATCCCACAGGGTTTTTCCTAGCAAGGTTTTAACGAGGCATGTTCTTAATCAATAGACATCCAAGGGGGAGTATTATAAATATATATGTGGATGTCAACTGCCCACATACACCAACTACCACCATCTTCCCAACCTAATTAACTACCTAACCGACTATAGATCACCATTAGGATTAAGCGGATGTCCATCATACACATCCTCCATCTCAATTAATTGGGACTCTACACTCAATGGCTATATAAGGAAAGCTATGTAAGAAGGAAAGACACACCAACAAGCTTCTCTTCTCCCTCACTTCTCCATGTATCTATGTGTCTACAATCCTTTGTAATAGGGATACAAGAGTATGGTATAAAAGCGGTGTTACTCCTTCTCCTCTATTTCGTGTTAATGGTATTGCTTATTCCCATCATCTGAATAATTATTCATAACAAATATAAATGATAAACCCGGCCAATGGCCGGGAAGAAAGCTAGTAGATAGATAAATAGATTCCAGCAAGTATGCTAACACGAATCAAAATGAATCCATAAAAAATCCATTTGAACAACAATTCTATGAGGGAAAAATCAATGGTGAATAGTAACGTTGCCCACATTAACAAAAAGTAAAATGGAGTCTAGCAAACTAATCCTACAATAATGCCTTGATACAATTATCAAACTTCTAGTATTCCTCTGTTGCTTCCCATTCAGAACTTGATTGTTGCTGCCAATTTGATTAGCATTAACCTGTCATTGTAAAGGGAAGGTAACTCATTAATATACTTATGGCTAGTGTTAAGCCAAAGAACCATAGCATGCTGCCTACTATTGAAATAATAGATAATAGTGCAAGAATAGATAATAGTCAAACCAATTTGATTAGTATGCTGCCAACCTAATGACTGAATGGATAATAGTGATATCCATCTCATAATTATGGGGAAAAGCTATCTCTTTTGGCCAATTTTGGCCAATTTTGGTAATGTAACTGCTGAGAAACCGACATTTGAATCATCATGCTTTCCCATTGTCCGCGAGCCCGGAAGAGCAGGGCAGCAAGTCCACTTGAATGGGAATTTCGATTGAGAAAGAGAGGAAGCTTGAGAAAAAGTTTCAATAAACCGTATAGTAAGTTTGATTGAAAAGCAGTAAGGGGAGGAACTTGGAGTCAAAGTTGGAAACAAAAACTAATTAGGTTATGCATAGCAAGATTTTTGGAAGAAATCACTGGTGGCTGTCGGCTGGAAATTAGCATCACATCGTCAAATTGTGGAAGGGATGAGCTTGATGAGGGATTCTAGGGATTCATTGTCAATTTTGGGTGGATGGCAACCATACTTTGATGGGTTAGGCTGGAAGCAACCCACACCCCGCCTACTATACCCACCCATATTATATTATGGTGGATCGGATTTTAATGGGTTGATTTGGGTGGGTGAATCGCCCAATGCCCATCCCTATGTAAATGCATGTGCAGGGTGGATTTCCATTATACTAAGGAGAAAGGCTTATGTAACATCACTCTAACATTGAGTAGAAAAACGAACCAAAACCAACAGAGTTCACGGGTTCTGGCCATCAAAGATGCTAAATATGACAGATTGGGCCAAGCTTAATGGCATCGTGCAGTTTTCATTTCAATACCAACTCATCCCACACAATTTTGCTTCCAACAACACAAAACACACGTGTGATTCAATCCACCCTATCAGTTCAAAATCATATTCTCAGTTGATCCTATCTTAAAGTCTCGACAATACCAACAACAAAAAAACCCTCTGCAGAATCACTGTATTCCCTAAACATAATAGATCCAAACGGGCCCATGAGCTTACCTTTTGCAAATCAAGAGTCCAAACCAATGCCGCAGTATGTTCTACAACTCAACATCAAGGCAAAAAAAACGAACTATCAGTCCATCAAGCTTCAATCATTCCCATGTTCACGTGCAACCTCAGTCACTGCTGCCACAAAGTCACTTTCCAGAACTTTGAAAGCATTGTAATCGCCAGTCCAGACTAAATGATTGGGAGCAATATTCCTTTGCAGCGCTGCTGACACGGCAGACTTCACCACCCCTTCGAGCATCGCACCACTGTAACCGTCGGTACGATGAGCTGCACCACATGCAGCTCCACAGTTAGCTACAATCTAATCTCAACACTACAAGTAGGTACACAGAGAGGACTTACCAAGATTTTCAATTGATACATCACCATCAAGATAATGGTTTTCCAGAAGCTTTGCAGTATGAATCTCCAGGATTTCTTGTCTTGCAGCTAGATCGGGAAGGCCAATCTCAATCTCAATCTCCAGGCGACCCGGCCTAAGAAAAAAAAAAAAAAAGAAGAAGAAGAAGTTCCATCAGAGACCTGTAAGTGAGGATGGAAATCCCATTTGTTGTATTATTGAACCATTAACATTTGTACAGATTGTAAATAACGATTTCTAGCTATTATAGAGGAAAGTGGTTGAAACATAATGCTGAAACTCAGCAACTATTAGCTACAATACAGCAACGGTAAAGTAGTGGTGGTTGCCAAAATATCAGAGGATATTTCCTCTCTATCACGCCCTCGCAAGTGGAACCTTGGAGAGGTGAAACTTGAAACAGAATTAATGAAAGGGGAGTCGAGCCAATGATTTGATGAGGACGTCTGAAGTTGTTCTGGTAGCGGTAGGTAATGAGCTCGAAGTTGCTTCTTGGCGATCCCTGGTCACTTGCGTATGACAATGTAATAGACCTGTCAATGCCGGCCCAAGGACTTGGTAATGGCAAAAGCCCTTTATCTCATTTGGGAGCTATGGTTGTCGTATGGTAGAATAAGGAAATAGAATACGGAAAGAGGAACAGAAGCAGGGGTATGAGAGGATTATGTGGAAGTGGAAGAATAGAAAGGAAAAGGGTTGGGGATAATAAGAGAAGATAAGTAGAGGAAGTGACACACAGGGAGAAGCTAGAAGGAGAGAAGGGCAAGGAGCATAATGTAATTAGGAAGAAGACGCAGAAGAAGAGAAGTTATCATTATTGGATATTTTAGGGTTGGGGAATTGGAAACTTTTGAAGGGTTTTGGTTTGCTGATCTAATAGTTGAAGGGCAAGGACAAGACGGCTAAGGTCAAGAAGAAGACGCAAAAGCAGCTAAGCTTTAGCTGCGTGAAGCCACCATCATAGTCAGCAATAAACAGAGCAGCAGAGGATGGTGTGGTGTAGGAAGTCGTCATTTTGCATAATAGAAAAGAGAGGTGAAGGTAAGAAAGACACAGACGCTGAGAAGAAGAGGAAGAAAAGAGACAATTCAGATTGCCTCTGTGGAGGATAGGGGCTCGGAAAACATGATAAAGACCAATAATAAGAAGAAAGCAGAGTCCCTCGTTAGAGGAAATTTGGGGCTCTGATACCATGTAAGTGAGGATGGAAATCCCATTTGTTGTATTATTGAACCATTTACATTTATACAGATTGTAAATAACGATTTCTAGCTATTATGGAGGAGAGTGGTTGTAACAGAATGCTGAAACTCAGCAACTATTAGCTACAATACAGCAACGGTAAAGTAGTGGTGGTTGCTGAAATATCAGAGGATATTTCCTCTCTATCAAGACCAATATATCAAAATGATGCATCTGAAAGAGAAAGATTTACCTGAGAAATGCTTCGTCAATAAGATCCCTACGGTTAGTGGTTGCAAAGACTAAAAGATTGTCCAGAGGGGTCAGCCCATCCATCTAACATTCACAATAGTAGAATCAACATTCACAGCGACATAGATATGATCAGTAGTTGGACAGTTTGTACACATTTATTAGTAAATTGAATAATTAATACTCTCCCCTTACCATTGTAAGCAACTGATTAACCATAATGTCAGTGCGTCCAGAGTCAATAGACCTTCCTCGTTTCTGCAGAAGTCAATACTAAACCTTAGCTAACAAAAACAATTGCAAGCAGCTAAGTAAGGAAGTGTTATACCATCGCTATCGCATCGAACTCGTCAAAGATTATCACATGCAATGGACTTTTTTCTCCTGAAAGAAAAATTGCCCCGAAGTTAAAAGACAGGAATCACATTATCCTGAAAAAAGGTAAATCTGTAGACAGAGAGGAGCCTCACCAAGCTTGACCTGGTCCTTTATGATAGGTTCAAACAATTCTCGTACGTTCCTTTCTGTCGTACCGAAGTATGGATCCAGAAGAGATGGACCACTAACAGTCTAGATATGAAATTCAATTAAAACAATACAAGTCAATTCAGAGGGTTGCTTCATTGACTTGAGAGAAACTCCTAATTTAAGTAGCTACAAAGTCTATTTGCATATGCGAAACATATAAGGATCAACTGATCACACCTGCACTTTTGCATTCAGCAAATTTGCAACCTTACGAGCAATCATAGTTTTCCCATTCCCCGGAGGACCAAAAAGTAGCATGCCTCTGACATTGCGAATCCCAATGCTAGAGTATAATAACATTGTAATTAGTCAAGAGAACAAAAATGCTGATAACAGAATATTTTATTGTGTAAGTTTGATAGTCATTTACTTCCTTCTCAATGCAAGCGGGCAAGCTCGTGTAGAAAGAATCCTACGAAATAGATCTCTTAACTGGTGGCTCAGACCACCAATACCCATTCTTTTCAAATCAATCGTATCCTTAATGATTGGTGGAGGTCTGGGATCTTGATTTACAATCTGTAGTATAACAGAATCCAGTTAGATAGATCAAATTGGCCCTTGACACAAGATAATGAGATCCAAATGGCAGAATAAAGTAAAACAAAGCAAACATTGAGGGATTGAAACAGTTGTCAGAAGTTAACCTTAATGCGACCAGCAGCTGCCTCAAAGGCGATGTTAGTATCTCTAGATAGGAAACCTTGTGGGTTCATGTGATCAGCCCCAATAGACAGAGTCACCCTACACGCATACTTGATGTTCTCGAAGCGAGTTGACACTATTTGACCCGGTGAAATCACCTGGGCGGAGAAAGAAATAATGCAGGAAGGATGTGAAGTGTTGCATCAAATGAGAAACTATGACCTAATATAACCTAATACACCAATTTACCTGCCCTGAATAGCGGTTCTTGAGATATCGTCCAAACTCATCCGCCTTAAGCTATAGAGCAAACAGCAAACATATCAATCTAAAGAAACTTTAAACGATATGAAAGAGAATTAATCCAAACATACCTCGGTCGCTTTTCGTATAGTGAGGCTAGTAGTCAAATCAAGCGCTAAGAATACCAGGTTGAAGCTAGCAGTATCAGCTGGAGGCTGATATCTGCACACAGAAACGGAACACTCAGATGAAGTCGATCGTAGTAACAATATCCGGTCACGGAAAAGAAGGAATACCTGGAAACCGTCACTCGTCCGCCGAGATTGGCGGCAGCCCATTTACGCTGACTACCATTGAGTGCAATCTCCCCCGTCCTAAGACTATCAAGAGGCTTAAATGCAATTAAAGGCCACAAACACAGTAGACTAAAAAGAAAACGGGAAGAGCCATTCAAGAAAACTCAATAAAAGGATATTGCAGAGAAAAGAGATGGCCGTCGCCATTAATGGCGACCAAAAATGGTTCGCCATGTCCACCGAACATCTTCCCATGGTCGGCCGCTGAGCAATAGGCGAGGTTTGAAAATGTCAGACGCTCCTCCGACGGAATCTTCACAACAGTATACCTTTCCGGTGAGCGACGAGGATCGGCCATCGATGTCGGTGGTGGAGAGCCTCTTCTCCAACGCCTCGTTGCCGACGATGAAGGAAATCTGGCGGCGTCCTTAAGCTCGGAACCGGACGGCGGCCGCCGAGAGACGGTCGAGATTTTAGGGTGAAACTTGGATTTTCTTTTTCAGTCGATAAGGAAATGGAGAACAGGTTTGCGCTGTTCGTGAATTTTACTAGGGATGGCAGGCCCGGGCCCAAATCCGGGTATCCGCCCGAAGCCCGCCCGATAAGGGCCCAGCTGATTCAGGATCTCTGGCCCGTCAACTAGGGATGGCAATGGGTCGGGTTGGGTCGGGTTTTGTCAAACCCAAACCCATGGGTTTATCCTTGAAAAAAACCCGGGGTAAAACTCATTGGGTTTGACAAACTCAAACCCAACCCAACCCGCTGGGTATCCGCGGGTTCATGGGTACCCACGGGTTTTTGTCGTAAAAATTTACAATAACAAGTTTCTATCAAAATTAAAGTCAAATATCAATCTCTCAATACAAATTATCCATATATAAAACACCATTCTAGAAAATTCAAGAAAATCACAAATTAACTATACAAAATTTTCAACACCAATTTAGAAAACACAAGAAAATTGAAGCAAATCACAAATTATCCATAAAGAACATGATTAATTGAAAGCTTCTTCTTAACAATTAAGTTTTTTCACTCTCTACTCGATAACATCAACTTAATTCTACACAATTAGAAATAAAAGTTAGACATGTTTTCACAAACACATATAAGATTAGTTGCTTAGAATATAAAATATAGTGAGAAAATTAATTATATAGGTGTGGGCTGGTACCCACGGGTCGGGTTTACCTAAACCCAAACCCAACCCAACCCGATGAATAGTGAACGGGTTTAAACCCAAACCCGGCCCAAAACCCGTCAACACGGATTTTACCCGCGTTGACCGGGTTGGGTCGGGTGGGTACCCGTGGGTTCGGGTTTTATTGCCATCCCTACCGTCAACGGGTGGCGGGTAACCCGAAACCCGTCAACCATGGTTTTCAGGTGGTGATGGTTAGCTCAGTATCCGCCCCGCGACCCGCCCCGCGCCCCGCCCGACGGTTTAATCGTGTACAAAACGACGGCGTTCGGAGGGAGATATATAATCTCTCAGTTCCCTTGGACAAACCCTAGCAGCCGCCTCATTTTCATTCTTCACCAAAATTTTACAGAAACCCTAATTCCCTTTTTCTCTCTGCCTCCTCTCTGGCGATTAGCGATCAGATCGCTAGATAATCGCGATCTGGCCGATTTTTCGTCATTTTCCCTCATCAAATCCTCCATTCGACCAATTGCATGGCTCAAAGAGCCACCATCCGACGAAGATTTCGTCGGTCGCAGTCCAAAAATGATTCGTTGCCTCGTTGGAAGTTCAAATCGCTGATTCTTCGAGAAAAGATAAGTTATTTCTGCCTTTTCTGGGTTTCTTATCTTTTCTTTCAAGCATCTTCCCTGATTCCTCGTTCCCCTAAGACCCTAACTCTCTACTGAGTACTGACTCTTCTTGTACTTGTATATATAGGGGGGATTCAAAGCGCAGAGCTCGTTTCTCACCACGCCATCTTCTGAGTTCTGAAATCGAGAACAAGAACACCCCAGTCGATTCAATAGAGAGCAGAGACCGAGGGATTTAGCCGACCGCCCGAGCCTCCAGACAGAGTCCAGTCGTCGAGGGTAAGTTTATTGATCTCGTCTATACTTTTTATGATTTATGGGTTAGTGGTCTCATAATACAGACATGCATGCATTAAATTCCAGTTCTTCTACCTTGCTTTGTGTTTTTTGTTCACTGACTCTTCTTGTTCGCTCTTGTTTGGGCTAGGTTGGTCACTTGGTCTCGTTTGGAACTTTGGATCTGGTTTACTGGTTTAGAGAACTGAAGCAGAACAGAGTCAGTGAGCAGTGAGGAGCAGTCTACTGTCATTGGGTACTCGACAGTCCACATAAAACTCCAATCCGAGAAGGTAATCCCAGTCCTCTCCTAACTCCTAAATCCTAATCCTCAACTCACTGTGGTTTGACTGTTTGTTCATAATGATGCGTCTTGTTGTGACAATTAGTGGATTCATAATGCTAATAAGTAAAATTAATTGAACTGTAAGCGTGATTTTGAGAATAAAGATGTTTGTTTGCAAGTTTAGTTTTGTCATTGTCAATGTAACTAAGTTAATAACTATTAACTAAGGCTTAATGTTCAGATGGAATGTAACTAAGTTAATAACTATTAAGTATTAACTAAGGCTTAATATATATTATGTTCAGATGGAAGGTGCTCCTACTGCTATAAATGTTGACATTGCTCCCAATGTCAATGCCCCTGAAAATGGTGTCCAAGTCCAACCTCAACCTGAACAACCTGTCCAACCTGAACCTGAACAACCTGGTAATGTTGAGGAGCTTGAAGCTCAACGTAAGTTAACTTCTGATGTGTGGCCTCACTTTAACCGAGTTAGGGTTAATGGGGTTATGAAGGCTAGGTGTAAGTACTGTCGTAAATCCCTTGGTGGGGAAACAAGTAATGGAACTTCACACCTAAGAAGCCATATCAAAACATGTATCCAAAAGAGGATACATGATGGTTCTCAAAAAATACTTGGTCCTAACTATAAACCCTCTGGAAATCCACAACTCTCTGCTTCTCAATACAATTATGAGGTTTCTAGGAAGGAACTTTGTTCAATGATTCTGGTCCATGAGTACCCCCTTAGCCTTGTTGATCATGTGGGTTTCAAACGTTTTTGTTGTTCTCTTCAACCTCAGTTCGCTGTTCCTAGTAGAAACACTGTCAAAAAGGACATTTTGAGTTTGTATGGTGTTGAAAGGGGTAAATATCATACCATTATTGATGGTAACCTGGGTCGGGTTTCAATTACAACTGATTTGTGGACTGCTAGAAATCAGAAAAGGGGTTATATGGCAATAACTGGTCACTTCATTGATAACTCTTGGAAGCTCCGTAACATAATGATGAGATTTATGTATGTTCCAGCCCCTCATACTAGTGAAAGGCTTGCTGATAGGTTGTTTGATTGTCTTTTGGATTGGAACATTGATGGTAAGTTGTCCTCAATCACATTGGACAAATGTACCACCAATGATTCCATGATTTTCTACATGAGAACTAAGCTTCTGAGCAGTGACTTGTTGCTTGATGGTAAATTGGTTCATATGAGGTGTTCTGCTCATATTCTGAATTTGATTGTAAGGGATGGTTTGGATGCAATCAAGGATGCTATAAATTTGATTAGGGAGAGTGTAGTTTACTGGAATTCTACACCTAAGAGGGTTCAAACCTTCTTCGAAGTTGCTAAGCAACTTAAGCTATCTTTTGAGAAAAAGTTAGTCCTTGATTGTCCAACTAGGTGGAATTCCACCTATCATATGCTCTCTGTTGCTATTCCCTACAAGGATGTTTTCTTTCGTTTGAGTTTGAGAGACAGTCATTACACATCAGTTCCTTCTAGTGAACAATGGGAATTTGCTTCTACTGTGATTGGGAAGCTGGAAATCTTTTCTGAGATTACTGAGTTGTTCTCTGGTTCCAAATATCCCACTGCCAATCTGTTCTTCCCTAAGATATGTGATCTCAGAATTAAACTGAATGAGTGGGGTCTTGATCCCAATCCTGTGATTTTTGGAATGGCTAGTCAAATGTCACTGAAGTTTGATAAGTACTGGGATGATATCCATCTTGTGCTTGCTGTATCGGTTGTTTTGGATCCTAGATATAAACTCCATGTGATTGAATACTATGCTGGAAAGTTTGGGAATACAGAAACTGGTTTGGTTGCTGAGAATATCAAGCAAATGATATGTGGTTTGATTCGTGATTATCAAACCAAAGCTGAGAACAAATCTGGTTCTGAATCTGGAACTTCTTCTTCTGGTTATGGAACTGCCTCTGCCACTGAACTTGATTTTGAACTCTTTGTAAGTCAAAGGAAAAAGAGTAAGACTTCCTTGATTACAACTGAGTTGGATATGTATCTTGCTGAGGATATCATTCCTCGCACAGCAGAGTTTGATCTGCTCTTGTGGTGGAAATTGAATGGTTTGAAGTATCCGACCTTGCAATCAATTGCAAGGGACTTTCTGGCAATCCCTATTACTTCTGTGCCTTCTGAGAGTGCATTTAGTTCTGGTGGGAGGTTGTTAGACCCTCACCGAAGCAGGCTGCATTATTCGACTGTGGAGGCAATGATGTGTACTAGGAGTTGGATAATGGAGGACATGCAACGAGGTAAAATGCAACTAAATCTCTCAACTTTATTGGTTTACGTTTTAGAATAGTATGAACTCATTCAACTGGTTCTATGCAGATTCGGAGGCTGCTGTGGAGGGATTGGATGGACTCTTCTCAACAATGACACTCGAAGATACAAGTGTGGAAGAGGCAGAACCTGGTGGTAAGATCAATAATTCATTTTTCCATTATGTGTTCTAATTTCTATTACTTCATTGAGGAATACTTACATTTGCATTGTTTCGCTTTTTCAGGTCCAGAACTCACCTTAATGAGATCACCATTTGCCCATGAAGACTGATTGGTAATCTGCTGTGGGACCAAGGTAAATGTTTTTTGTATTTGTTGTCGTTGATGCATTATTCATTCTAGTCTTTACTAAGTACTAACTGAAGCATTCCTCTTGTGTGTACTTTATTCAGTTTCAATTGATGATTGCTGGTCTGCTGGTTTACATCGATTGGAATGAGGGCCAGGGGTGGTCGGGTGGATGATTCTCAATGATTCACTGTTGCTGGAACCTAGATGGAATGTTGCTGCGTTGCTGTTGCTTCTTGCTTGAACTATTTCAGTCTACTGTTTTTGCCTTTTTGGACAAGAATTAGACATTTAGATTTTGGGAACGTCTTTCTTTGGTTGTTTGGTTCATTTGATTTGATAATTTCTATCACAAACACGAAACAGATGTTGTTTTTGGTTGTTGTTGCTTAGCTGCTTGGCTTGGCAATCTTTCAGTTGTTTATTTCAGGTCTTTTTAACAGACCAGTCAGATTGAATAAAGTATCCAGTTTCCAGAATTTTTTTTGTCATTTTCATCTTTAATTCTTTATTTTCATGGTTTGGTAGCGGGTATTATAGACCCGCGGGCACCCGATTAACCATTGGGGCCGGAGATGGTTATCCATCGAGGCCCGCAAGTCCGTTTGGGCCGGGGACGGGGATACCCAAGGCCCATGGTGGGCGGGCAACGGATCTAGGGTACCCGGCCTCGATCCGCCCCGTTGCCACCCCTAATTTTTACAGGGGTCAGGGCGCGGCCGCGCTAGTCATTTGGCTTTTTTAGGATTTTGAACCGACCCTTACATGGTATAATAATAATTTGACTTTATAAAGTTGTCAAACCGGTTTGGAAAAGTTTTCTTATTATCTCGGGAGACAAACAAAACATATAAAATCAACTTTTCACGTATTTTTGGGTTTATTTACGCCATTTGATACTTATTCGCGTAGTACTATAGTTATAGGTAAATGAAAAATCAGATTTTTTTCTCCTAATAATTTATATTGACTATATTTTATGAAATTAAATTTGGATTCTCAATTAGTCTGTAAAAATATGTTGTATTGATCATAATCTACACAATAAGATCCATTTTGATATATTTTAAAGTTTAAATTTGATTTTACAACTGCGTAAATAAATAACAATATGCATGAATAAACAACAGGTTGCGTGACCTAATAATATTGATTGCGTTAATAATCAATACTCTTACATGAATACCGCAAATATGGCGTGAATAAATGAAAAATGCGTGAATTAGGTGCTTTGTCTCTAAAGGTGCCAAGAGACTTAATTCAACCGGTTTGTAATCTTAGATGGGTTGTTTAGATTATGGGATGCCTAAGACCATAGTATCTAATAGATATCCAGTCTTCACTACAACTTTTTGGACAACTTTATTTGAGCTTCAAGGCACTGATTTTATGTATTCCACAACATATCACCACCAAATGGATGGACAAACTGAAAAGCTGGATCGTTGGCGAGAAGACTACTTAAGATGCTGCATAACATAACAATCATGCTAGCTGGGCAGCCTAGTTACGAATGGTTGAGTGGTAGTAAAACGCCAACTTCCATACCAGCCTTGTAAGGCTACGGGCCACCCACAATCTCAATTTGCCATACGAAACCCATTATCTACCTCTATAGCAGCCGTGGCAGAAAAATTGCAGCAGCAGCAGAAGTTGGTGGGATTGCTTAGGCACAATCTAGCTTTAGCAAATAACAAACAAAAGCAAATGGCTGAAAAGATAAACACATGTTGGAGAGGGAATTTCAAGAGAATGACTGGTGTATGTGAAGCTCATACCTTACATGTAGGCTTCTCTGGCTCAAAGGACAACTCAAAAGCTCTCACCTAATTACTATGGACCATTTTTTTTTTATCACTTAGATAGAAGATGGGACATGTTGCTTACAAATTGGAGCGGCAACCAGGAAGTAGTATTCATCCAGTGTTTCAAGTTTCTCTATTGAAGTTGGCACAGTTAACAGTGCAAGCAGCTTTGCCTAAGGTGGATGATGTCATGCTGATGGAACCTTGAAGATTGAGCCTTTGGTTGTCCCGGCATGAAGAATTGCTGCTCGAAACAGTGTTACAGCAGCACGGATTCTAGTACAATACTCTCACTAGAATGATGAGGACGCCATAGGGGAATTCCTGGACAAGTTCAAGATCAAGTTTCTGAATTTCCATACCTGACTTGACTCTTGAGACTTGATGACAAGTCTTTCTTTTAGTAGAAGTTGTAATGAATGGGACGAGAATTAACGGACCTCTGTGTGCAAGAAGCCGAGGAAATAAGGGGTGGTGCGACAAAAAAAATTAGAGGGGAAGGAAGATTACTATAATACCCTTATTAAAAAAGTTGGCATTTTGCTAACAATAAGAGGTAAGAGGTCTATGACTTCTCTCCTCGTGGCTAATAAGTATCGTAATAAGTATGCAAACGAACGTGCCTCAATGGTGCACCTGCGCTCCAATTGGCAGATCGTTATCGCTTTTAATTCCCCCATGCCCTAATACGTTTGCCCTTCTTTGTTGCTATTCTGTTGTTGTTGGTTTTGTAATTAGGTGTTCTTGAAATAATAATTGCTGAAGTGATATTTTGTCTGAGAAATGTGAAGAAATAACACAACAAAAGCAACAAACAGAAAAACAACCCCGTTCCCCTTGCACACGCAACTCTGAGGCCTACAACAGCCAGACTCCAAAAGCAAACGACGAGAAATAGCACATTGGCGGTCTGGCATCGCCACCGCCTTCTCGCTGCATAACCGAAAGCCGCAGATGATCCTTGCGTGCAGTTTTCTCCTCCATCTCATTTTGGCAAGGCTTAATCAAATTTCCCAATAAACACACACAAATGTGGCCTCAAATTAAGATGTTGCAACCATCCATCACGCCTCTACTGAATCCTCATCTTGCTCACTTCTGTTGATTTACAATGGCTAGACTAGTTGCACTTTCCCCTTTTCTGCTCACCTAGCTGAACCTAGAAGAAAGTTGCCCCGTTTCTGATTGTTTTATAGCTAGAAATGCGATACCGATCCAACGGTATTTTTTGGTCATTCACTGGTTGGGGGGCCCGGATTCACTATTAATTAATCTTCATCATCCAGGCCGGCATCAACATCATTGCCCTGGTGGTGGTGCTGCTGCGAGGCTGCTGCACCTTCGCCATCACTCACCTGCATCTCACCCGACTCGGGGCTTCCAGCTTGTTGTTGCTTCCCTTCCTCCTCCGCTGGTTCGTCTTCCTCGGATTCTGACAATGCCCGTCTCCTCCTTGCAGCTATCGCAGCAGCAGCAGCCTGCGTTCCCCGGAGAGAAAATATACATATTAAAAAGATGTGTTGAAGGAGATATATATTCTTTGGGGAAGTAGTAGAAGGGGGGTGGGGGGAGTGTTTTCTGTTCCTTTCGTTCCCCCAGCTAGTTCTTTTACCTCTTCATCCTCTGCATCGGAGTCTTCAAGCCCAGCCGCAGCAAGAAGATCCTGAGGAGCTGGATCTTTTTCCTCCCTGTAGTAACTTCCGTGGCCATCATCCCCTTCATGACCATCCATCTCAGCTTCACCTTCTTCCATTTCCTCGTACTGTGAAAACTTCGAGCTTTTATCCTTCTTTCTCCTCTTCCTTCCACTTTTCTTCCTTCTCCTTCCACTATGACCACCAGCCTCGTCATCATCAATAATATCCAGTCTATCCTTCCGCTTAGATGCAGAACTAGTACTACTCTTCCATTGTTCCTGAAAAAGAGAAGGCACCTTATTATGACTACAAACAAATCACTAGGTTACAGAGCAGCAAATACACAATAACAAATCCTCCCTCAAATCCCCATAAATTTTAGTCTGGACACAAGAACATAATAATTAATATTGGGGCCTCTATCAGATCCATCCTGAATCCATATAAAGAAATAAGAATAGCTAGTCAAATAATCATGACTACCTTGACACGCTCAAAGTCCTCGTCTTGTTGCCTGGCCCGTTTGTTTTCATCCTCCTTTTTCCGCTTTTCCAACTGTTCAGCACAAGCAAAAGTGTGTATATTTAAGCTCTTGATGTGGTTCACTAATTGATAAACCAATAGTAAAGTTTCGCCCAGAACAATACCTGGAATTTCCTTTGTTCTTCAGCCTTGCGTCGGGCTTTTTCGGCCAATGACATCTGCCGTTCAGCTTCTTCTTTCTGTAGTTTTTGTTGCTCCTCTCGCTCAGCTACTTCAAGATGAACCTTGGCAGCCTCCAAAAGATGTTTGCAATAGTCGACATGGGTGTTTATTTTCTTCTCATCAAAGCCATGGATCTGGAGGTTGGCACCAGCAGAGAGCTGACTAAACACACGGACAGCATTTTCCAGCTCAACAATAGCCGACCGGACCTGTGGTAGTAATATCAGGAAGGATATACATATATAAGTACCTTCTTGAACGAATATAATAATATCAACCTGAAGCAAAGATGGTCCATTTTACATGAAAATCTGTTGCAATTAACGTGACGGGCGTAACAATGTTTGGCCAGGTTTTGGAAGCCACACACCTAGGTTTCTTACCATCTACTTAATGAATCCCAAAAATCAAGCAAGAGACCAGATTAATCATAATAGACAATGACCCTACAGTAATAGAAGACAAGAAAATAACCGACTTTTATTCATATCAGTTCCAAGACCGAGGGTGTTCCTACAAATCCCTTTTCATTTGATTTCTAGATAGTGAAACCACCCATAGATTCTCAGTACTTCTTGCGTGGTGATGAAACCCATTGAAGGTAGAATATTTAATATAAAAAATTCTTCTGGAAAAATAGCGAGAGTGATCTCTGGGACAAACTAAAAGGGATGACCAAAACCAACCTCATTTGCTTCCCTCTTTTCCTTCTGTAGTGTTGATGCTGAGAACTTCTGCATTGCAACACCCGCGTCAAACCTAAGTGTATAATTTGAAGGGGCTAAGTGGATGGCTCGCAGCAAAGTTTTCTTGCAGTCTTGCCACTCTTCAGCTTCATAATAAGTGCGTGCCAAATAGAGGAAAATTTGACAGTCCGTATTATGATAGTAGTTCCGTAAGCAATTCTGATACTGCATATAACAACGTGTCAGAGTGAGAAGGATTTGCAAAACTTATGCCAGGCGTATACCTGAGAGACAAGGAAGATCAACTCACCATTTTTATAGCCAAGGCATTATTTCCTTGAGCAAAATACACATGTGCCAAGTTTATCCAGACATCTGGCATCTGCACAAAG